TTGTCCTAGCTGCCTTTAAGCCTGATCAACACCTAAAAGGAAGTGAATAGATTGCCTTTAAAGTTCTTTTAGTCTTTTTCATATCTGGGATTATAGTACCTTTCTTTTTTTTTTTTTTAAAGATTTTATTTATTTATTCATGAGAGACAGAGAGAGAGAGAGAGGGGCAGAGGGAGAAGCAGGCTCCCAAGGAGCAGGGACCCCGATGCGGGACTCGATCCCAGGACCCTGGGATCATGACCTGAGCCGAAGGCAGACGCTTAACCATCTGAGCCACCCAGGCACCCTATAGTACCTTTCTTATTGCTACACAGTTGACCCTCGAATAGCAGATGTTAGGGACACTACCTCCCATGAAGTTGAAACTCCACATATAACTTTTGTCTTCCCAAAATTTTACTAATAGCCTACTGCTGACCGGAAGTCATACTCATAACATGAATGGTCAAGTAACACACGATTTTGTATTGTTACACATATTATACACTGTATTCTTCTAACAAAGTAAGCTACAGAAAAAAAAATGTTATTAACCTATCAGGAAGAGAAAGAACATTTACAGTACTATACTGTATTTATAAAAAGAAAATCCACATATAAGTGGACCCACACAGTCTAAACCTGTGTGGTTCAAAGGTCAACTGTACGGTGCATAGTGGTGTTTTGTCTTTTTTTTTTCTTATATAGATTTATCAAGATGTATTTTTCTCATTTGGCTTTAAAAAATGTGGTTTCTGGGCTAACTTATCATTTCTATCATTTTTATTTATTTTCTATTTCATTAGTTTCACTTAATGTCTATTTGCTTTGTCCTTCCTTTACTTTTTATTGTTTGAAATTTTGTTTTAAAAAGAATACTGGGTTGCCTGGGTATTGCTCAGTCGGTTAAGCATCTGCTTTCGGCTCAGGTCATGATCCCAGGGTCCTGGGATCGAGTCCCGCATCGGGCTCCCTGCTCAGTGGGGAGTCGGCTTCTCCCTCTGCCTGCCGCTCCCCTTGCTTGTGCGCGCTCTTTCTCTCTCTCTCTCTGACAAATAAACAAATAAAATCTTTAAAAAAAAAAAAAAGATGAATACTTGGTTCAATTATTTTCAGTTCATGCTTTCAAAAATTTTTTTAATGAAAGTAAAGTATATGTCCCTTGAATATAACTTTAACTCTAGCCCATAGATTTTGGGACTACTTACTGTTGTTGAATTTAGTTTTTTAAATTACTACTAAGATTGTGCATTTTTTCATGTTTCAACACTATTGGACATCAGTATTCCTTCTTTTATGAATTTTTTCTTCTCATTCTCTATCCCATTTTTCCTAATTATTCATCAGTTTATTGTTTTTTCTCTTACGTGCTTTGCAAATAAATCAACATTTTACTTTTCATTTTACATTGGGTTTTACTTTTTGGCAGAGAAGTTTTATGCCTTTTTTGTGTGGTCTGATGTATCAATAATATTGTTTTGGGTTTTCTTCTCTGAGATCATTCTTAGATATCTCTTTTCCCCTCTGAGACTATAGAATCATCACTTATATTTTCTTCTGATTTTGATTTCTTTATGTAACTAAAAGAATCTGATTTTACTTTTCCTCTAAATGCTTAACCATTTACTTCATCATTAATAACTGAGCAATCATCATTTTCCTACTATTTTGGTATTCTATTTTTATCATGCATAGATGATACAAATGTGTACATATGCATCCTTGGACCCGTGTTTGGACTTTGTGGGTTTTCACATTGTCTCTATTCCAGTGTCACTAACATACTAATTAGGTCAGTTTTATAAAACCTTTTAACATAAGATGACCAAGTTCATTCTCATTTTTTATTTTTATTTTTTTTTTAAGATTTTATTTGAGAGAGAGAGTGTGCCTGAGCGGGGGTGGGGGTTGGGGGCAGAGGAGGGGCTAGGGGGAGAGAGAGAGAGAGAAGCAAACTCCATGCTGAGTGCAGAGCCCAATGAGGGGCTTTATCCCATGACCCAGAGATCGCGACCTGAGCTGACACCAAGAGTCACACGCCCAACTGACTGAGCCACCCAGGCTTCCCCATTCTCATTATTTTTAAATTTTTTTCACTGTTCTAGGATGTTTATTCTTCCCTAAGAGCTTAGGAATCACTTGATGAGGCCCTTATAGGACTTGGGATGGAGTCTTTGGCGAACTCACATCCCTCTCGGTGGGTGGATGGGGGTCATGCATCCGGGAGGCCAGGCATTGGACTGGCTCAAAACCCAGCCCTGGTTCTTCCCTCCTCTTCTTGCCCTGAGCCAGCCCTCCGGTCACAGAGTGCCCATGCTTGGCCCCAGGCTGCCGCCTGACCTTTCAGCCCTGGCCTGGGGCCAGCCACTCACACCTGAAACGCAGTGTTCAGGGAGATCATAAAAGGGCAGAAAGCCTGGTGGTAAAGACACAGCGCTACTTCCTCAGATCAAAGGGCCTGGAAACATCTTGAAAACACTTTATTCAGCCCTATAAACAGACTTACAAGTAGGAATTGAGGATTTCATTCCCTCAACTCTTTCATATATTTACTCCATTCATTCTGCCGATGTACTAAAAACTATGAAAAGTACCATTTTGCTCAGGAAGGGCCCGCATGAGTCCCTCTGGGACTCAAAAGTTGTTTGAGCCAGGCAGTCTGAGAGATTACACTGCTTAAGTAAGTGGAGGGCAAGGAGGCTACTATTCAATGTGTCACGGATACTGATGGGCTACCGATGCTGCAGTGACAACCCGCAAATCTCACTGGGACCCCAAGTGGTTGCAAGTGATCCCCCCTAGGTCCACAAGGGCAGTTGTGCTCCATGAATTTGCTCAGGTTTCCAGAATGCTGGATTGTAGAGTAACTTCATAGCCACCAGAGCCTTCTGTGATCACAGCGGCAGCATTTTTAAGAGGCCATTTGGGGATGTGCCCTGGTCCTCATCTGCGTCCTCCCAGAGGTGACACATGCCACAAGCCTGTCTTCATAAGGCCTCCCTCATTGAAATATTGGTGAAAAACAGTAGCATCTACAAAACACCTGCTATTAGCCATCCAGAGGCTTCAGCCACAGACGATTCCCCTGAACAATAGTGAGAGTCTGAGTAGCCTGGAGATTGCAGAAGGAGATGTCTCCCTATTCTCCCCGTTAACGGGTTTTAGACTTGCCTGCTCATTCTAATCCACTTATTGAGCATCTCGAATGCCCACTGCTGGAACACATTCTATAGCTTACCTCTAATGTTATGGATGTGCAGGGCTGCAGCATCTATGAAGGCATGACCAGCCATTTCCATCTGTGTATGTCAGTGCCTGACAAATATTTGAGGTATAAATTCATATTTTACTCCTGATAGATACCTGGTTTCTCTGCTCTTGTATATAAGATGTAGGTAACTTGAAAAGTGAAGCACACTATTAACCTTGGGTTAAGGACATGCAAAAGATAAGAGTGATGGAGAATGCCCTCGACGTAAGCAATTCCCTTTTATATCAAGGGAATTCAGAAGAAACCTGGGATCCTGAAAAAGCAAACATCAGAGGTCTCCCCACTGGCTGTTCATTGCGGGACGTGGGCTGGTGTGGTGCCAGGAGGGTTGAGAACCAGGGAGTAACTTGAGAATCTTCTGTTAAACTGAACAGGGCCTTCCTGCTGTGGTTGTCCCCTGTCCAAACAGGGAAGGATCCCAGTCTGCTCCCATGATGTCACCTGGCACTATGAGGGTCACAACATCTCCTGAGATCATAAGAATCACACAGTCCAGGCCTTACATGGCACCTAGGCTACTAAAGCAGGGACCATGGCTACTATGGTTGGGATGGGGCTGATAATGTTGAAGATCTGTGTTGACCTTTGCCCATGATAGAAGTACTTGCAAGGGAGGCCTCTACTTCAGGAATGGGCTCAGGCCTGAATTTTCTGAAATGCTTGCCTCAGTCCTCTGCATTAGTCAAGCTGTGTCTACAGAGCCCAAATGACCCTCCTTACTCGTTCTCGGTGCTGGAGAGCAAACCAGGCCCCTGTGGCCCCATGGTGCAGAGAGATCTGCCGCCTTTTCTATTTTGGGGTCTCAGCATTCCCAGCCTTCAACACCACAGAAGATTTCTTAGTGCTGCACTCTTTCCTTCTCTCTTGTCAAGAAATAGGCTTGGCTTAAGTGTCAGGATGGGTAGTGATCACTTTTAGAGGGTCTGCCCAAACCACCATGACCTTGCATGGATCCCAGTGGCCATACTGTCCTGGGCGGACCCACCCTCCAGATTTAGGTGACTGGACCAGAGGCGGGCATCTGAGACAGACTCATTTTCATAGGAGTTTTGAATTGCTATCAAGCAAGAGTTTCTAATCGCTGGGTGGCAATTTCTGTGACACACGTTTTGCCTTACAGGGGCAGTCAAGGGAGTGGGAAGAAGAGGAAGCTGGGGTGGAAAGGAGGAAGAGGGGAGGATGCAGAAGCCACGGAAACAGCAGACGCTGTCTCCCAGTCCTCCTTGGGCCAATTCACAACTCTCTGTTTTTAGAAGAAACGCTCCTATTTCGCTTAAAGCGCGATTCAGTTGTTCTTCATATTTGCAATTAAAAACAAACAAACAAACAAACAAACAAACAAACAAAAAGGTCTTTCTAAGCTCCCTCAGTGAGTGTGTCGAGGTGTGGCCTCTGTGCTGGAGAGTTGTTTGCCCTTACTGTGGAAGTGACTTATATTTCATAAGTTGCCAGGAACTGGGGAATTTTTTTAGTAACAGGAGAAAGATCGTGGCGAGAGCCTGAGCTGCGTGCTGGTGAGAGATGCGGTTTTGTTTTCAGGCCTGCTGTCCTATGTACAGGATGTGGCTGCAGGAGTGTTGGGCAGAGGACCTGGGGGACCCATTGAGGAAGGGCCAGAAAGGGCAGAGCTCATGGTCTCTGGGAACAAGGGAGAGAGTGGTTGGCTCTATGTCTAGGGGAAGGGCATGACCCCCTCCTATGAGCCTGTGCTTCACCCAGGTGTCATTCCAAATTCTTAAGCATAGGTTCATTTATATTTTGTGTTTCTTTTTTTTAATGTCAGAGAGAGAGAGAGAGTACAAGCAGGGGGAGTGGCAGGCAGAGAGAGAAGCAAGCTCCCCGCTGAGCAAGGAGCCCCACGATCCCAAGACCCTGGGATCATGACCTGAGCCAAAGGCAGATGCTTAACCGACTGAGCCACCCAGGCATCTCTCATTTACATTCTTTGTAATACTTGGTCATGATGAGCCCAAGGTGATGTATGGAACTGTTGAATCGCTATATTCTACACCTGAAACTAATATAACTCTGTATGCTAACGAACTGGAATTAAAATAAAAACTTAATTTAAAAAAAGAAGAAAAGAAAATACCAAAAAAAAGGCAGGGACCTGCCTTCTGGCCTCCCCCCACGGCTCTACGGAGAAGCCCTGGCCGGCAGAGGCGGTGCCATTTTATTGGGGCATTGGCAGCACATGGGCCTGGGTCCCCACTCGCTGGCCAGGCTCCCCGGCCGGCCCCCGCGGCTCAGAACTCGCAGACCACCAGGAGCGGCTCCCCGCAGGCCTTGTCGTTCCACTTGCCGTTGGTAAGGATCTCCACACAGTTCTCTGAGCCGCCGCTGTTGTTGGGTTCCCCTGGGGCCCAGTTGGAATAGACCAGGGGCTCCCCGGTGGGGTAGATGAACTGGCCCTCTGTCTTGATGTCAGTCATGCTCAGGAAAGCAGACTTGTTCTGAATGGTGGCCAGCTGCTGCAGGGCCTCGTTCTCAGCTGCAGAGCGCGGGGAGGCCATCTGTCCCCCTGCCTGCATACACACCTGCTGCGCATCCTCAAAACTCTTTTCAAAATCCCCTGTCTTGAAGATCTTCTCCCCAACAGCTCGGCCGTTGGGGAAGAGCTCCACTAAGAGAAGAGTTAGATGGGGGTTATGGCAGCATCTGGCCCCAGCTCAGGGGCTCTGAGATCTTTGTGCTCCAACTGGAGCCCCCCTCCCCCACCCAGGCCTCCCCGGTGGGGTATCAGGGCACCAGATAGACAAAAGTGAGGCACTTGGTTCCAGAGCAGCCCTGACTTCACAGTGCACACTGGGAGGAGGTCCTGTGGGCTGCAGTTACAGACGAGGACACTGGAGCTCAGGGAGGTTAAGTAAGAGGCCCAAAGTCACAGGCCCGCCAAATGTAGGGTTAGGATTAAATCTTGTTTGCTGGGACACTAGAGCTAGAACCTGCTCTTCCTACTTCACCCCACGTTGTGTGCTGGGGTCAGTGGGGATTGGAATGACTTTGGCCGGGGAGATGTCAGTGTGGCGGTTGGGGCAGTTTCTGAGAGTATGAAAATCAGACCCTGCATAAGAGCAGGTCTGTGGGGTTGCTGTGTGGTGGGTGGGGGCAAGGGGGGCATCCGAGAGCCTCGATGTGCTAATCCTGCCCTCACTGCAGACCCATGTTGGCCCCTTGGTACCCATGTGCGTGATGCCCCAGCAGTCAGCCTCCCCGGGGAGCTGGGGGGCGGGTACAGGCACCTGAGCGGTGGCAGGGGGAGGGGACAGGTTCTGGGAGAGCCCTATTTGGGAATCAGCCAGGGGTTCCACCCCAACCTGGCAATGGCTGTCTAGGTGGGCAAAGGAAAGTCACTTCCCTTTTCAGGGCTTCTAATTCCTCATCTCTAAAGTGGGGGCACACTTCATAAAAGCATCACCCATGGGGCATATCAAGTATCTCTTTTTAGTCCATCCCATTCGCATTCCTTTGGCTTTTGGGCTCAGGCATGGAAATCCTCAGGGCTCCCGAGAGGGCTGTGCCCTGGCCTCCCTGGGCTGGTTAGGCTCAGGCTGCCCCAGTCCCACTGCCCTCCTCTGAGGAGCTTCAACACGGGCTCGGGGGACAGATGCTCCATAGGCTCAGGATGGCACTTGAAGCAGCCCTAGACGGGGCCTGTGTGGGGCTTCATGTTATGTCCCTGCATCTGGGTGCATACACACGTGCATACACGAACATGTCCGTGTATTCGTGCGAAGGTACACGGCAGCACCCACCATCCAGATACGTGTGCGTACCTACGTGTGCGTACCTCTGGTTGTGCTCATGTACGTTATGGTGCGGGGTGAGTACACCCACGTGGCCGGGGCCTGTGGACACGTTCCACTTTGTGTGCAGCAGTGGGCATAGGAGTGAGTGAATGCATGGGCAAATATGTTTGTGGAGGGAGGAAGACATACCCAATACCTGAAACTCTCCTCCTTGCTACTTAGGTACTTAGGGGACAACCCTGTGTCTTACCCAGTCAGGCCCCTTTATGCTCTACTCCTTCAGAAAACTCTTTTTTTTTTTTTTTTTTGGATCAGGGAGATTGGATGAGTGATGCAGACTCAGTGCTGAAGTCAGGGAGAGCAGATGAGCAGGAGGGGCGGTCAAGGACTGAGGTGGAGATTCCGAAGGGCACAGGGCACTCAGGCTTGCACTCCTAGGGGCCCTTGCCTCGGCAGCGTTCCAGGGTTAGGGAAGACTCTCTGCTTGAAACACCCGGGGAGGTGCAGGGAGAGTACTGGCTGGAGCCCAGAGGCAGCCAGCCGCCTGCCAGAACCATGAGCATGTCCAGGGTGAGGTACTTGATTGGCCACACGGCAAGGCCAGGCCCCCACAGCCTTGAACCCCAAGGGCAGCATCCGAGCCGCAGCTCTCAGGACAGTGTCTGGATTCTCTGCTGCCTTGGGCCGTGAAGCAACGTCTCTGGGCACTCACACACAGGGCCCTACAGATGTTAGGAACACATCCCGGGCTGCGTGTCTGCTGTCTATCACAGGGACCAACACGGGGTAGGCAGGGTTTAGGACACTGACTGGGTCACAGGTGGCTGTGATGTTGGGGGCATCCTAGAGCCTGATAATGTCTACCATACTTCCGTCACCCCATTAAACCGGCGATAGGGCCCCATCCTCCTATTTGCCTCTTGTATCTACTTGCAGATCCTGAAGTATGCTCTGTCCCAGCCCTATTCTCAGCCCCAGACCTTGCCCCAGAGCCAGGTCCAGCCCTAAATATGGTCCCAACCCATTCTAATCCTAGACCCAAGCCCAGCCAATGCCAAACCAAGGCCCAGATCCAGTGGGGGGCCTAGCCTTGGTGCCTGGCTCCGTTCAGGCCCAGGAACTTACCTTTCCTATACTGAGAGAAGGCATTCTGGAGGTGTTGTACCTGTCCATGTAAGGCCTCCACCTGCCGCCTCAGAGCAGTGATGTCTGCCGAAGAGAAAGGCCGAGGGAAGGTAAGCCCAGCATAGCCTGGGATCAGCTCAGAGCCTAGGCCTCAAGGGAAGGGTGCCCAGCTGCAGGCACATACTTGGGGTGGGCTAAGATAACTGGCCCCTGTTGCTCCCAGATTTCCCGTGGTTCTGCTATGAACAAGTGTCCCACAAGCAGGTGCCTGCATCTCACGGACACTAACCACATGACATTTGAACTCCAAATTCTGGGGATCCCATAGCACCTCCTTTTGGGGGGATAGGAATACTTCCCATCCATTGGGTTATTTGATACTCAAACTATGTTTTGAATCGGGAAGAGGGCTATGATTTCCCCAGTGATCAGATGGAAAAGCCACCCAGGGTTGTCCTCCAGTAAGTCTAAAACCAGAGCCTAATTCTCCTGCCTTCCTGCCTGTTAGCTTTCCTGCTTCCCACCACTCCCCATGATTAATGGGGCCGAAGTCTGAGAGGATAGGCTGTCCTGATAGATAAGAGCACCACCTTCCTCCCCCTGTCCCCACCCTGTGGGGACTCCCAAATCTGGCAGATGCCACCTTACCTGGAAGCCCACTCTCTCCCTTCGTTCCTTTTTCCCCAGGAGCACCTCTGTCCCCCTTCAGTCCCGGGGGCCCTTTGGCACCTGGAGGTCCCGGTGGACCCATGGCTCCAGCAGGTCCTGGGATCACAGAAGAAGAGCTGGGTGAGCTCTGTACACGTTTTCCAGCATTTTCAGCCTCCCAGTACATGGACCGTCCAACTGGCCTACGGTCCCCCTTCCCCTATACAGACTGTTCCCAGAACTCAGCCGTGCACCCTCTCCGCACGCTGACTGTCCCATCACCCAAAGACCCACCTCTCCGGGACATCGACTAGCCCTGTTGCTCACGTGTCACTCTCCCTCCACGCAGACGGCTCCCAGAGCCCAGCAGTCACCCTCCTTGGACATAGACTCTCCCTCCACCGCCCTGTCACACCAGCTCTGACGTGACGAGTGGCAGTGGTGGAGAGATGGCCATTGGCAGCACCAGGAGGACACAGGGGAACCGGAGCCCGGCCCTGGTTCCTCCCATCACTCACCTGCTGCCCCGGCATTCCCAGGGGCTCCACGCTCACCCGGGGCACCTCTCTCTCCTTTAACACCTGTGGGACCTTGTGTCCCCGCAGAGCCTGGCTTGCCGGCCACACCCGCTTCTCCTGAGGAAGGAACCAATTGGGACAAATGTTGCTGAAAGTGTGTTCAGTCCTGGAGTTTTCACCCACCGCTCCAGGGGGAGAGAGACAACTGGGGAGAAGGTGCCCCTTACGGGGCTTCCTCCAGGGAGGCGAACAGGAAAACGCCACCAGTGTGGGAATGGGGGGGGAGGAAGGGGCCACGATGCGGCCTACCCAGCGCTGGCCGTCTGGGCTTTTCCTGGCCCTCTGAGCTTGCTGCCTGAGGTCCCATCCCGGACTGCCACCGTACTCCTCCCCTCTCCCTCCCAGACCGGCCGCGTACCGACCACCTACCTTTGGGCCCGGCCTCTCCTTTAGGGCCAGGTGGGCCTTCAGGACCTATGTTCCCCTGCTTCCCTGATGGACCCTCTCTGCCAGCTGAACCAGGCACGCCTCGAGGTCCCGGAGGTCCTAGGGCAAAGGACCAGCCTGGTCAGGGGCGCTAAACCTTGTTGGCGGGGGGGGCACATGAAAAGGCAAGAGCAATGATAGAGGTGAGAGAGGCAGCAGTAGTATTTCCCAGGCGTCTCTGAGATAACCCAGTGCCGCCTTCACAACAACCTTCTTCCTTCTCCCCGGGATGGAATCTGTGCATGTCCACCGGTAAATCCCAGGGACGGCAGCAGCACCTGCAGACAGCCGAACTCCGTGCCCAGCCGCTCACCAGATGGTCCAGAGTCTCCCTTTGGTCCAGGCTCTCCCTCAGAGCCATTGTCCCCTTTGGGCCCAACGGGGCCAGCTGGTCCAGGCATCCCGGCTCTCCCTACAGCTCCTGGCAAACCTGTAGCGGCAGAAGAAATGGGTATAAACCTGGCCTTGGGCCCAGGAGGAGCCAGGTGCCTCTAATGTCAGGCCCCTTGCACACCTTCAAGGTTCTACTTGAAGAGACATTCCATCTCCACACTCGGTCCAGTGGTGATCCAGGAAATGGGTGTCCCCATCCCCATTTTACAGGTGAGAAAACAGGCCAGCCAGAGTTGGCTGTGGATTCAAGCCAAGACCCATCTGACTTGGCTTGTCCACGGTATTTACAGCCAGCAATCTGTAAGCATTTACCCTTGATCATGGACTCCTTGTTTTCCCCTTCCCAGAACCAAAGTTTCTATCAGAAATGACAGCTGGCACTAATCATCAGGGAACTGCAAATCAAAACCACAATGAGATACCACCTCACTCCTGTTAGAATGGTTATTATCAAAAAAGACAAGCGATAACAAGCGTTGGCCAGGATGTGGAGAAAAGGAAACCCCTGTGCACTGTTGGTGGGAACGTAAATCGGTGCAGCCACTGTGGGAAACAGAATGAAGGTTCCTCAAAAAATTAAAGGTAGAATTACTATATGATCCAGCAATTCCCCTTCTGGGTATTTATCTAAAGGAAGCAAGAACACTAATTCAAAAAGATATCTGCACCCCCATGTTCATTGCGGCATTGTTTACAGTAGCCAAGACATGGAGACAGCTTAGAGCCTAGGCGTCCACTGATGAATGAATGGATGGAGAAAATGCAGGTGTATATATGATGGAATATTCCTCAGCCATAACAAAGAACAAAATCTTGCCATTTGCAACAACATGGATGGACTTTGGGGGCATTACGCTAGATGAAATTAAGTCAGACAGAGAAAGACAAATCCCATATGATCTCATTTATATGTGGCGTCTAAACAGACAAGCTAACCAACAAACAAAAACAACAAACTCACAGATACAGAGAACAGATTGGTGATTGCCAGAGATGGGCTTGGGAAGTGGACAGAATGGCTCACGGTGGTCAAAAGATACAAATGTCCAGTTGTAAAATAAGTTCTGGGGTTGTCATGTACAGCATGGCAACTAGGGTTAATAACTCTGTATTGTATAGTGAAAGTTGCTCAGAGAGTAGATCTTTTTTCTTTTTCTTTCTTTCTTTCTTTTTTTTTTTTGTGAGTAAAGCAATAGAAGTTTATTAAGCAAGGATACAGAAAAAAGCTCTCAGGAGTGAGACGGGTCCCGCCACTGAGGGCATTTAGGGTTGGTCTTTTATAGACAGATAACCAGGGACCTTAAATCCTTTTATCCTCTCTATATCAGCATTGAGCAAGGACTAGTGCTAACACCTTCAATGGCTTATTTCCTTCTGGTTATTCTTTGTTGGTCACAGGTGATTATCATAAAAAAGACACCCACCGCACATGCTGCGGGGTCACAGGGCAACTGTAGGAAAGGGGACCCCTGGAATTTAATTCAGGGCCCCTCTGAGAGTTGGAGAGATCGGGGATTCTCCAAGATGCTGACACCCTGAATACCACCCTTCTTCTGAGTTCCCTTCTAGGTGGCCTTCCCCAAGCCCCAGGCCATTCACGTTGGGAGCCACTTTCTGTCTGTAAAGGATGGACAGATAGATACTCACTTGTCCCTTACCCTACAAAGCCTGGAGATGTTACCCATTCTTGCTAGCTTAAATGTTGTTAGTTTCCTTCCTCTCCAACAAAATGCAAACTCCTGAACGATAAAGAGCACAGTAGATCCCACCATAGCCGTAGCCCAGCGCCTGTGGGTCCCTTGTCTTAGTTGTTGGTTCACTGAATGCTGACGCCTTGCCACTGAGACTCAAATAATTCCCTTAATAATCAGTACCTTTGGGAACCTCAGGAGAATTCACCTGATCGGGCCAGCAGGAACATGCACCTTGATCTTGACAACTTAACAAAAAAGTAAAACCTTGGCTCAGTTATTCAACACTGTGTGGTCGATACTATTCCCATTTATAGATGCGCACCCTGAGACTCGGGGACACTGGCTTGTCCCAAGGTGGGTCCCTGCTGTGGAGATGGAGCTAGCTGTCTGGCACAGATCTGTCTGATGCACAAGGCCGTGTCTTTTCCCCTCCACATTGGGTGTCATTTGGCCTTTCTGCGTCACCATGTTCTCACCCGCCAAATGTGAGTCATATGTTGTTCCTTGTGAAATATTTGGTAGGGTTAAATGAATTACTCAGTGATGCCCAAGCACAAGGCTGGAGAAAGAAATGTGAGCTCCCTTTCATTCTCTCTGTAAGGTATTAAGGTAAATCCTTTTGATCAGACCTAAGTCTGGGGCCACCGAGCCTCCTTCTTTCCCATTCTTCATGCAGTATTAAAAATATTTATCGGGCGCCTGGGTGGCTCAGTTGGTTAAGAGACTGCCTTCGGCTCAGGTCATGATCCTGGAGTCCCGGGATCGAGTCCCGCGTTGGGCTCCCTGCTCAGCGGGGAGTCTGCTTCTCCCTCTGACCCTCTTCCCTCTCGTGCTCTCTGTCTCTCATTCTCTCTCTCTCAAATAAATAAATAAAAATCTTTAAAATAAATAAATAAATAGATAGATAGATAAATAAATAGATAAATAAATAAAAATATTTATCTCCCTGCACAGACACCATTTAATCTGGAGGATCAACTGTTAAGTCCCTGGAGCCGGGTTCTGGAGAACCACAAATTCCATGTCCCCACTATTTCCTCATTCTTGGGGTGGGAGGAATCAGAAGAACCCAGGGGAGGAATCAGGGCAACTGGTAATGGAGGGAGGCGCCTCGGGGCTCAGAACAGCCGGTCATTTTTCAACTGGTAAAGCAGCATTTCAGAAGGACCGAATGTCTCAGGGAAACCCACCCCCTGAGGAGGAAGAAGTCCACCTCTGAGCCTTCCACAGCAGAACATCCAGCGTTTCTGGGTTGGTTACAATTCCAACGCCCACCCCATTCCACCAGGACGAGCCCATGGTCCCAGCTCTACCTGGATCCCCCTTCTCGCCTCGGGGGCCATCTCTTCCATCCCGTCCATCACGACCGGGCAGGCCATTCTCCACAGGGCTACACATGACCAGGGCGCAAGTGCTGGCCACTGTTCTCTGGGAATAGGTCTTCATTTCTGCTCCCAGTGACCTCAGGGGCTGTGTGAGCAGGATCAGCATGGAGAAAGGAAGGAGAAGCATGGCCTAGGCAGATGAACAGAAAGAGAAAGGACATGCTCTTGGTCCTAGGACATGGGTTAGGGCTTGGCCTGGCTCCTGAAGGTCAGGAGAAGCACCTCTCCACAACCCCCCTCCCTCCTGTGGGGCTGAGAGCAGCAGAGCTCTCAAAGCAGTGGAGGGACCAGGTGGGCATATGGTCTGGCCTGGGAGAGCACGAATTGGAACTCCTGACATGAGTTGACAGCATTACCCACCTACTCTCAGATGCCCCTTATTGTCCTTTCTTGTGCCTTCCCTGGGCACTGCCTTCGGCACCGGGGCTAGGATGTAGAACTCCTCTCTGAAGCCCTGAAGTCATGATTCCTCACTGAAGTCATGATTCATGAAACCATGAATCAGGAAGGATTCATTGGGTAGTTCTGGAAAGAAACTTTACCCTCACCGGACCTCCTTCTCCCTGCCTGTATTATTAAGGTGGGTGGCTTAGCTCCAACAAGGCAAACCCGTTCCCTCTCACTTGCTGCCTTGGATGGACTAGCACTTGTGTTGTCTGCAGCACTATTCTGAAAAGGAGTCAGAGTCTTGGATGCTTAGTGATGTCTGTCCGGAGCACAGGATGGGTATGTGGTTGCATGTTTTCCAGCTGATTAGCCATCCCTGGACTAGACACTGTCTCCATAAGGAAATTCCCACAGAGAAACCAGGTGAAAGTTCTCAGAGATATGAAGTTAGCAGCTGGAGAGCCCCTGAGACACGTAGTATTCTGCTCCAACAACCTAAGAGAACTTAAAAGAAAGGCCTCAGGGTGGAAGGGGACGTGTGAGATGGGTTCAGTCAGGGGAAGGCTAGTTTGGGGATAAGAAAGAGCAGGTGTCCAGTAGGGCATCCAGTTACCAACTGACTGGGACTTAGGGACTAAGTGAGACCAGGGCCAGTACAGGGCCTGAGTCACCTCCAATATTGGGCATCTTTCCTCTCTCAGAGAGAAACTGTAAAGTTATGAGCATGGAAAGAGCTTGTGGGAGTTCCAGAGACTAGGAACAAAGCCTGGGGGACATGTGCAAAGGAGGAGGGGGTCACCAGGCCTTCGCTGGACTTGTGGCAAAAGCTCGGTCATGAGCACCCAAGGACCCAGGCCGGAGCAAGGGCATCGTCCACTTGTCGGCAGCTACCTCAACTCTGGGGCCCTGCACCCCAAATCTGGGGAAGAACAAAAGGCAACAGGCATTCTGCCCAGCAGCTCAAGATGCCATAGAAGGCCCCACAGTCCACTGTAGCAGGAAGTGGCCTCGAAGAGAGCTAACTCACAGGTTTTCAGACCTACGGTTCAGATGAGGCGTTTTAGCTGGGGCTACATTGGGAGTGGGCAGAGCCACAGCCCCCTCAACCCACAGTGTTCACGCCAATCTTCCAGATTCAGATTTTATTGAGAAAAATGACTCCCTTGAAAATTAGTGACCTAGTCCAGTAAGGCTATTTTTTAAAGGAAACATTTGACTGAATGTCTCAGGGAAACCCACCCCCTGAGGGGGAAGAAGTCCACCTCTGAGCCTTCCACAGCTGTGGAAGGTGGACTTCTTCTGCCATGAGAGAAGCATGAATGTCCATGTTCCACAGGCAGCTGGTATGTGGATGAGCTTAGAACCCAGACTCGTGAAGGCTTGGTCTGTTTCTCTTCTACCAGCCTTCTTTCTGAAGAAATCGGGAATGGAGAGGAACTAAGAGAGAAGTTGAAATTGCATTTTCCACTGGGGCTTCCAGACAATGGTGTCTGGGGTCTGGGTGGGTGTCATCCAAGTGATCCACCCTCCCCCAGCCCAGAGGGCATAGGGAGCGGTGAGGGGCAGAAGAGCACTCCTCATTAGCCCACTCTGCCCCCCCACCCTTCAACCTCCTAGACCAGAATAGCTACCCAGAAAAAAAAAAAAAAAAAAAGAATAGCTACCCAGATCCTGCCTTCGCAGCACCAGTAGGATAAAGCAGCCATATGGGCAGAGAGATATTCACCAGGCACTGGGAAAACAAAATGAGGGCAAAGGACAGAAACACTCACGGTTGCTTCTTCTGGGACTCTAGGATCTCCAGTCCAGCTAGCCTTTCCTTGGCAGGCACTGGCTATTTATGCCTACCTTGTAACTCGAGTGGCCCAGCCCTGTTCTTCTAAGAGCTCTTTCCTTGTTGACTTACTCTCACCCCCACCTGCATTCTGGAAACCTGCCACTGATAATCATATCACTACACACATATTGCCCTAGAGTTTGTAGAACTCTCAGTCTGTGATCTCACCGGTACCCCCCTGAGGCCCTGTGAGTTAAGTGGCATCATCAGTGTCTGTATTTTATAGATGTCCAAAAATCTGAGCTCCAGAGAAGACTGGCAAGTTGCACAATGATCTACACCTATTGCAAATGCAACCTACATCTGCGGATTCCAAGATCCAGGACCTGCTATGCCCACTTCTCTCCCCCCTTCACCTCAACGTCACTGCCCAGATATTGGGAAAGAGCTGGGCGTTCCTCGGCATATCCGGGCAGAGGTGGGGCAAGTGGAGAAGCTGTGGAAGCTGTAGCCTGTGGGAGCAGTGGCTAGGGGAACCGGCACCTGGCAGGGTCACTCTTTTATTTCCTGCTTTAGATCTCAGAGAGACCTCCACTTGCCTTTTATGGGAGGGACTTCCCTTAACCTCCTGGCCCTCACCTCTTATCTTCTTAGCTGAAGTTTGCCCTGTGCATGACTCAGGCAACCAGTTTGGACCCCTGAGCTGCTGATACACTTCGGCAGCCATCCCCAAGGAGAATCTAACTTCCAACTACTGTAAGACAGTTGCCCACCCTCTTGCCTTTACTATCAAAGGTAATCTCTGTTTGCTTCTAGATTCTTGTGGCTTTATCTCTTGCAAAGATTCTCTGCCTAGTTCCACATACCAGCAGCCCCATGTCTCCAAGCTTCTCTTCTGGCCACTCCACTGGTGGTGCCAATTTGTTCTTGGCTTTTGATGCTCCTTGTGGCATCCCCTTGTGTATTGTAGAATCTATAATGCCTCAATTCATAGGGAAAGGTCTTCTGTCTCCCATACGGCAGTTTTTTTGAAGCAGGATCCATAGTAGAGCCACCTGGGCCCCAAATGACAGAGTTCTTTCATCATTAACACACAGCCCTCCCCATTCTAGGATGTTCATGTTTCTCCTAGAGATCTAGGTCAGCATGGAATTCCATTTCTTTCCCCAAATTTGGAAGTTTTCCATCATTATTTCTTTAAATAGACTTTCTTGGCCTAACTCTCTTCTCCTTCTGGGATTCCTCCAATGCATATATTATTTCTTTTGATGATGTCCCATAAATCCTAGAGGCTTACTTTACTTTTTTTTTTCCTTCTCTGACTGGATAATTTCAAAAGATCCACCTTCAAGTTCACTGATTTATTCTTCTGCTTAGTCAAGTTTTTTGTTGACTCTCTCTTGAATTTTTCAGATCAGCCATTGTATTCTTCAGCTCTAGGATTTGATTATTGTTGTTTTGATCTGACTGCAAATCAAGGACAACAAAAGCAAAAATAAACAATTGGGACTACATCAAACTAAAAAGCTTCTGCATAGCGAAAGAAACGATCAACAAAACTAAAAGACAGCTGGGATGCCTGGGTGGCTCAGTTGTTAAGCTTGTCTGCCTTCAGCTCAGGTCATGCTCCCAGGGTCCTGGGATCGAGCCCCACATTGGGGTCCCTGCTCCATGGGAAGCCTGCTTCTCCCTCTCCCACTCCCCCTGCTTGTGTTCCCTCTCTCTCTATGTCTCTCTCTGTCAAATAAATGAATAAAATCACGGGATGCCTGGGTGGCTCAGTCGGTTGGGTGTCTGCTTTCAGCTCAGGTCATGACCCCAGTGCCCTGGGATCGAGCGCCGCATCGGGCCCCTTGCTCAGCAGGGAACCTGCTTCTCCCTCTGCCTGCAGCTCCCCCTGCTTGTACTCTCGCTCACTCTCTCTCACCCACGCTCTCTCTCTCTAACAAATAAATAAATAAAATCTTAAAAAAACAAAATAAAAAAATAAATGAATAAAATCTTAAAAAAAAAACAAACTAAAAGACAACCTACTGAATAGGAAAGGATATTTGCGTATGATGTATCTGATAAGGGGTTAATATCCAAAATAAATAAATAACTCATACAACTCCATAACAAAAAAACCAACAATCCAATTAAAAATATGGGCAGAGGATCTGAATAGACATTTTTCCAAAGATGAAGTACAGATGGCCAACAAGCACATGAAAAGATGCTCAACATCACTAATCATTAGGGAAAGGCATATCAAAACCACAATGAGATACCACCTCACACCAGTCAGAATGGCTAAAATTAACAAGTCAGGAAACAACAGATGTTGGCGAGGATGCAGAGAAAGGGCAACCCTCTTACACTGTTGGTGGGAATGCAAGCTGGTGCAGCCACTCTGGAAAACAGTACGGAAGTTCCTCAAAAGGTTGAAAATAGAGCTACCCTATGACCCAGCAATTGCACTACTGGGTATTTACCCCAAAAATACAAATGGAGCTATCCAAAGGGGACATCTGCACCCTAATGTTTATAGCAGCAATGTCCACAATAGCCAAACTATGGAAAGAGACCAGATGTCCATCGACAGATGAATGGATAAAGACGATGTGGTATATATACACAATGGAATATTACGCAGCCATCAAAAAAATGAAATCTTGCCATTTGCAACAACATGGATGGAACTAGAGGCATTATGCTAAGCAAAATAAGTCAATCAGAGAAAAACAATTATCATATGATCTCACTGATATGTGAAATTTAAGAAACAATACAGAAGATCATAGGGGAAGAGAGGAAAAAATAAAACAAGATGAAATCAGAGAGAAAGACAAACCATAAGAGACTCTTAAGCATAGGAAACAAACTGAGGGCTGCTGGAGGGGAGGGGGGTGGGGAGGATGTGATAACTGGGTGATGGGCATTAAGGAGGGCACGTGATGTAATGAGCACTGGGTGTTACATGCAACTGATGAGTCACTGACCTCTACCTCTGAAACCAATAATATATGTCAATTGAATTTAAATTAAGAAAAAAAAACAGAAACAAACACACAAAAAGCATCAAAAAAGAATTTATTAATATTTTTCAAAGAGGAACTGGACCCTAGAAGAGAATAAAAGTACTCAATTATTAATGACTGCAAATACTTATTCTTTGGAACTCTGTGTTTTCTCATTGTTGCAACAGGAGAATTAGTTTCTTGTCTTACAGCAACATGTAACTTTCCCAGAAGTGAAAACCTCCTATAACCCTAAGTCCTAAGAAGTTTAGTAATTCATCTTCAGGGTTTGCACGAGTAATCTATTTTCTGGAATTATTTTGTTTACTGCTTATCTTATTACTTATGTTTAATGGGTACAGGTGTATAATTTATCTCCTTATGTAGATTACAGTTTCAGTGATAGAGTAGAGACAAAGAGTATAGTCCATTGTCAAGTCCTGGCAATACTATGCAGCCAACTTACTCAATCTCTATAAGCCTAAATTTCCGCATCTGTAATGTGAACTTAAAAATTATGCCTTCTTCAGGGCACCTGGGTGGCTCAGTCAGTTAAGCATCTGCCTTCAGCTCAGGTCATGTCCCAGGGTCCTGGGATGGAGCCCCGCGTCAGGCTCCCTGCTCAGCGGGGAGTCTGCTTCTCTCTCTCCCTCTGCCCCTCCCGCCTACTCATGTCTCTCTCTCTCAAATAAATAAATAAAATTAAAAAAAAAAAAAGAAAGTAGGCTACAGAGAAAAGCAAAAATTCATGGTTGAAGATAGTGTTAAGTATGTTTTGCTTAAAAGATAGGGGCGTCTTCATAAAAGTTATAATTGCAGAAATTTGGGAAAAGAATTATAATGCAATGTTTAAAAATATACATAATCCTAAACATGCAGAGGTAAACACATTTGATACTCTTTACTGCCGTTTTTTACATTATATATTTTTTTAAAGATTTTATTTATTTATTTGACAGAGAGAGACACAGCGAGAGAGGGAACACAAGCAGGGGGAGTGGGAGAGGGAGAAGCAGGCTTCCTGCGGAGCAGGGAGCCTGGTGTGGGACTCGATGCAGGGCTCGATGCGGGGCTTGACGTGGGGCTCGATCCCAGGACCCTGGGATGATGACCTGAGCTGAAGGCAGACACTTAACGACTGAGCCACCCAGGCACCCCTACATTATAATATTTTAAAGGACTGATAACGTATACAGAATTTGGTGTCATGTTTGCAGTTGATAACATAACAGAAGCATTTACCATGTAAACAAAAGTGTTTTGTAAACATAATTTTAATTCTCATATTTAATATTATTATTTATTATGTTCTAATATTTAACAATTTCTGAGAGCATTTTCATATGTGTTACTTCCCCATTTTTCTTCCTAGAAATACCTCTCCGCTCTTTAGGCATAAAGGGCAATAGGCAATAATTGCCAAATTATTTCCAGAAAAGTTACACCAAAATAAAACCTCATCTCTAACAAATTGTTGTATCTAACTATGCTAACCAAACCAGCATAAAATGTAATAATTTTCATAATCTTTACCAATTTTGGAGAAAGAAATTAACATCACTGTGCTCTTGTAATTTTGATTTGATTAATTTTGTATTATGTTGAACATTTAAAGTAAACTTGATGATTTGCCTTGCATCTTTCGTTAAGTATCAATTCAAAGTGGTGTTCTTAATGATTTGCACATGCTTTTTTCAGCTGATATTAAATTTTAGGTATTCAGTAAATATTTCTCAGGTTGTATGTTGCCATTGAATTGTGGTCATATGTTTTTTCTAATTTAGTGAGGAATCTAATTTACTGTACACAAAATTATTTTGTCCTTTGGTGCTTCTTCTGTTTATTTTAAGATAAGAAAATTGTCCTCCAACTTTTAAGATTTGCTTTCAAGATTTTTATTAATCATTTAGTAACAATTAACTTGATTTCATCTGGAATTTATTAGTGTATATATACAAATATGTATATACAATACATTTATATGTATTATATATGTATATATGTGTGTGTATACA